TTTAGAAAGCTTTATCCTCTTGTATCTAATCCATTCAAAAAGGGCTGGCCCTCGGTCGTCCAACCAAAAGCCATCTCTGACACTGCTAGGGCTTCCCCTTATTTACTGCAAACATCTGGGGTCATTTGCTTCTTTGTTTTAACAAGAAAAGGCGGAAAGCTTGTCCTGGCATCTAGAATTCTTAAAGTCATAAAACACAAGATAAGCTCTCACAGACAGCTTGTGGAATGCGGGGGGCCTCACCATCCCTGGTTGTTTATTCTGGAAGACTTTTGACCTTCTGTAAACCAAGCAGAAATCTCTCCTGCAGGCTTAACTGTTATTCACCCCCCAGGAGATACTCATTCTATGGCCTGGTGGTCTAAATACTTACCCATTAGTAGTTTTAAATCATTAACACAGCCTTGTTCAAAATTAAGAAATATGTTCAAGTGAGAGTGTTTACACATGCCATAAGATTAACTGTATTAAAGTCTAAAAAATTATCATTTTTCTTTAACACAACCATCAGATAACTGACCTGGAACGTACGGCCCACGTATTGCATACACTGGCATACGTCAGGAAATGCTCAAAATTTCCCGACCTACATGCCTCATGTCTACATGTGCCAGCGTGTTTCAGCGTACTTCGGCGTGTTCATAACTTAATCAAAACGTACCTGTAACTTATGGCCCACTTTTGGCATACGTCAAGAAATTTTTAGCATGCTCAAATTAGCTCTACGTACTTGCCGTATGTTGATGTGTTTAAGTGTGCTTCAGTGTACTTATAACGTACAAAATGTTCCCATAACTTATCCAACGAATGCCAGTGATTTTGCCAGATTTTTCGTATTTCAGGCAAACGCTGGTCCAAATCGTGAAGGTGTGACAGGGGCTTCAGACGGGAAAACAAAACAGGGGACGGATGTCCAGCTTGTTGAAGCAAAGGCAGAAGTACCTCCTCTGTTCAATCTGATATTTTTAGGGGAGTTAGCAGCGAGGCTGAGGAAATATTCTGAAAAGCATGGGTGACTGGAAATAGAGCACTGCTTCTATTTTTCAGAGTCAAATATTCTTGGGATCAGTCCAGCCATCCAGAGGGAGAACTATGGATTCCAGACTGGATTGTTCCGCAGGAAGAAGTAGATGATTACTGTGGGTCTTCCCCCTTTCTCTCCACACTTTCAGCTTTGTTTCAGAAAGTATCTTAATACCGAGTCTCTGAAACTCAGTGTGGAACATTAGACCAAATATACAGGAGCAGTAGGTCACTAATGACTAATAAAATTCAGAGCGAAAGAGTTCAAACCTCCACTGATGCTAAAACAGCCCCAACAGGAGCAGCATTAGTGGGCACTGTTTACAGCAAATGATCTAATCCTAAATGAACACAGCTTGGCAGTGGAAGAGGCAGAGAGCTGAAGGGATGACATCAGCATACAGTTAGAACATCAGCATAAATATCCCTACAGATTAGCAGATAATGCGATTAGATCATCTGTGTAGCAGCTTCATATGAGTCAGGACTCTTTAAATCAGGAATTTTCTTCTCTCTTCTGCCATCATTAACTGCAGCGTTACCAAGATGGATCCTCCTCCTGAGCTCATTTAGCCACATTTTCTATTGATTGTTTTAGAGTAGAAGTCCATCAACTACCTGCACTGGTCATGCAGATATGTTGCTGTCCACCATTTCAATATGTAAAAACTTAAAGTTCTGTACGTGAATGCATCAGAGATCCCTCAAGATTTCCCATCACCTGATGACTATGGAAGAAAAATTGGAGTAAATAAAACTGTGAAATATTTTTTTGTATGTGTGGCTTTTTTACCATCCATCAAAACTCAAATGACCCTCAGTTACTGGTTGGCAACTAACTCAAATTGAATTAGAGGAAAGATTAAGAACCTTGAGGTCCTAAAAAAAAATCTACAAAGCAAAAAATTTTAATCTTAGTCAAATAATCTTAGAATAAGTGCATTTTTTTCTTGAATTGAGCAGTTATGTCAGGTTTCTGTTTCTGTTATGTTTTTCTTTTTAATGGTTCAGTCTTGCTTTACTCCTTGTTTTCTAGTGCTAGTGGTTTTATTTTTATTTTGCTGTGTTCTTTGGTTTTTTTCCGGTTACTGTCGTAGTCTGGGTTCTGTTATGGTTTCTTTTTAATGTTTAGTTTTCTTTTCTCCATGTTTTATAGTCCTAGTAATTTAACATTTTGTTTTTATTTCCAGTCTTCCAGGTTTCTACTTGTTGCTCTCTGCTGCCCTCTTGTGTTCTCCTTCTTCCCTAGCTCTTTCCCTCTCTTGTTCTGTGCACACCTGCTCCCAGTTTCCTCATTAGCCCTCTCTTTGTCTCAGACTGCTTTAAAAGCCCTCTCTCTTCAGTTCCCCTTTGCTGGGTCCTCGTCAAACACTGTCTAACTTCCTCAAACTTCCTCCAACTCCGTCTTCCTGAGTCTTCCTCGTTGTGACAGTGATTCCCCTGATGTCTCCATGGTTTCTGGTTCGTTTTGACTAGTTTTATGTTTGATTCTTTTGGATATTTGGACTCCTGGTTTCATGTTAGTTTGGACTTCGTTTTCATTATTGGATTTTTGGATAACCTGCTTTTGTTTTCAGTTTCCCTTTCGTTAAATCTAAAGAAATTCACCTCTGCCTTCGTGCCTCTGCTTTTGGGTCAACAATCCACAACCAAATCCTGACAAGTTAGATGAGACATGTTGCCAATGGAACAAGACAATTTACATTTAAAATAAGAAAAACATATTACATTCTCTTATTTCAAGTGCATAATATCTACTAATTGTATTTTATGGGTAAAAAAATCTCGTTCCATTGGCAAATCATCTAATTTCCCACTCAAATTAAGGGTAAATACACTTATTTTAGGACTTTTTCACTCATTCCCAGAAGGTTTTTGCAGCGTACTGCTGCGAACCTCAGCGTCTTAATTCGAAATGATCCTCTAAAACCAGCAGTTTTCTGCTTGTTCGGCCGAACCCACACAGGACTCATCATCTCCACCACCTGCTTCTGCTTCCAGACATAGAAGTCCTAGAACAGACCTGTCACTGATCACACTGTGTAATCCTTCTCCTTCAAAGAAACAGGGGTTAGCGTTCAGTCTGCTTTCGCTGTAAAAACGATCAAAAATTAGTAAAAGTTAAGTGCATTTACCCTTAATTTGAGTAGGTAAATAAGATGATCTTCCAATGGAAGGTGTATTTGCTCTTAAGGTAAGAGAAATAGATATTATGCACTTAAAATAAGACAAGGAATTGCTTTTTCTTATTTTAAATGTCAATTGTCTTGTTCCATTGTCAACCTGTCTCACTTAACTCCTAAATTCATGAAAAAATTCACTTATTTTAAGAACATAAAATTACTTATTTAGATTTTAATGTTTTGCATTGTTTAAAATCCTGAAATGCAGAGTGTTGAGCTGATCATCCACATCCAGGCTGTTTCTATTGTCCAAACGGAGGCTTTATCCATTAAGAATGGGGGCATCAAGCTCAGGTTTTGGTTCTAATGGAGCCCACAGACCAGAACAGAGAGAGTTCAAATTTTACCCAGAGTCGAAGAGCAAACACCTCCTGTAACATCTGCCAATTCACGGGAAAGGATTCTCCTTTTCAGCAGTGCAGCCTTTACTCTACCAAGATTTTTATTTCCATCAACCAGAGAAAGACAATTTCCTCTTCTATCACTCAATTTCACAGCTCTGAATGTGCCAGACGGGAAAAGTCAGAACTGGAATTGTTTGCTGCAGCAATATTCACACATCCCAGAGTCTCTGCCTGCTGTCAGTAAAAAAAGCAAAAACAAACACACCATAAAATCTGCAAACATTTGGGAATCAGCCGGTCAGTTAAAGAAATTTAGGCTTCCAGACTAAAACATGGAGGATCCAAAACATCTGCGAGGAGATAGTGTTACTTCTCTTTATCAAATAAGAACATAATAAAAGCAATATATTCTAACGCTCCTTTTCCACGGCTCTGCTCCACCCAAACATTTCTAAATTGCCTTGATCACTTCCATCTCCACTAGAGGCCTTGAAGTAAAACCACAGACCTTCACTGATGGCTGTATTCTTCAGCTGGACAGGCAGAGGCCTGGTTTCCAAGAAACAATGTCCAAATTTCTTAAGTAGATTTTTCCAAAGTAAACAAATTAAGGTATCATCAGGGACCAAGCAGTAAGGCAAAAGGGACACAGGAGTTGATAAAAAATGTCTGGGCTTAATTGACCCAAAAATGAACAAAATCCAAAACAATTAAAAAAAATTTGGAGCCGTTCACCAAACGAACGTCCAATCAGCGTTGGCTTTGAGGGGGGTTGAGGTGTGACGCAACGAGAAGCGCGACAGTTCAGTCTAAAGAACATGGCGGCTTCAGCCGATGAAACTAGCCTTAGCTTGGCTATCGAGGAAGTTTTATTGGAATTACAGAGTATTTCTTCACTGAAAGAAGAGCAAAACACTGCTCTGGAGGCTTTTCTCAGAGGAAAAGATGTTTTTGCTCTTCTCCCGACTGGTTTCGGCAAGAGTTTGATCTATCAATTGGCTCCTCTTCGTCGTCGCTCTGTTAGTACGTCATATGCTTCGTTGATCTGATTGGTTTATTTGGCCCGTCTATCACCAACATAGGCCAATCAGCTAACCAGTATTTTCTCCCCTTCCCAAAATTACTTCAAAGGAAGGTTTCCAGATGGATATGCGGAGCAAATCCATCTGGCGGATTCAGGTTAGCACACAGTGGCATTGGATGCAGGATATTTTTCTGACTTGACTTTCAGGGCGGGAAAAGAAAACTTTCTTATCTAGATTTGTTATTTCTCACAAACCTTTTAGGGCTTCCATAGTTGCTAGATTCAGTGAAACCAGAGTAAACATGCCAGTGTAAAGAAACCCATTGTGTTTACATCCTGGAACTTAAATGCCACATAAAATAGAGTCATTTAATATTCATCAAAAATCTGCTCCCAGAAAGTTAATGTAGTGTTTTATAATCTCACCCATCATGTAGATTCTGTTTCCTATCACGAAGGGTGTAGCTCCGTAGCGCGGCGTCGGCATGGCGGTGGTTGCCTGCCACTGATCTTTCTCTGCGTCGTAGACTCTTACAAAAGCCTGAGGTGTCGTGTCGACTCCCATACCCCCCACTGCATACACCTTGCCATCTGCAGAGAGAAAAGGCGTTTATTAAAACCTTCATTAGACCTAGATATTATATATACAGTTTTTTGAACACTTTTTATCACCTCCTAACTTTGAGGCAGAGGTCCAAACCAGAGACCGCGGGTTTTACCAGGGATCCAGATTCTATATAGAAACCCTTATAGAGAAATGGTGCCGACACCCATCCAGAAACACTCACATCCAAAGGTAAGGTAGGGTTCACACATTTAGACATTGACCAGAACCTTGCTTTTCTGATTGTTTCTATAGCAAAACATGCAGAGTTGATACATCAACAATGATTTCAGATCTAAACCTTTCCACCATGAGGCAACAGCCAACCAGTTAAGCCCTGAGCAAATTTTTAACTGACAACTAGGAAAATGTCTAGAAAATGTTGAACAAAATGATGCTCCTGCACAAACACTGCAAGGGGAGAAGATAAGAACAGATACACAGAAGAAGAGGAAACAAGCTGAAGGTAAGGAAAGCGGGAAAAGGGGAAACAATGGAACTGGTCAAATGATCATATTTACAATCCATTTGCTCTCAGAGTTGTACAAAAAAATGTTGCAAAGGACAGAAGTGAGAAAAGAGAGAGAAGCAGTGAATCACAGGGACTCTTAGTCACTCAGATGACAGAAACTCTGAGCTGCGACTTAAACTGTGAAGAACAAAGCAATAATAAATCTGTCTCTCAGGATACAGCAATATGCACATGGACATCCTATTTAACTGTTGCACATAAACCAAATGGTGCAGAAAGAGCACTCCTAGCATGTAGCACTGCATAATACATGCAGCTGGAGAGAGGCTGCAAGGCAGGATAATCACATCACTGCAGAATTCTTAAACACTACCTCTGAATGGGCTCTGGAAGCTCTTTTAAGGGTTCCCCGAAAAAAAGAAATCACCCAGAACCTTAAGGCCGGCATCAGCCAGGTGTGGTGTGCAGAACTCGGAGGGAAACAGAGGAGTAATGGCTCTAATGCGATAAACCCCAGACAGGCTACAAGGAAAGGACTCAAACCCACCAGAATCCTGCAGAGTCGCTACAACCTGACATGTTCTCTGAAATCAGCGGCCTGCAGTCTTTGCTCTGATCAATGGGAGGATCCTCAGGCTCTTTGGTGCACATCCTGATCCCTGATCCATGCATGTGTGTCGGTAATAATGACTGCAGCCATGGACTCACTCAGAGGAGCCCGGGGGGGCGGCTCCCCCTCAGCAGTACGGAAAAACTCAGACCAGGAATTCTTTGTGTCTTAAAAACATAAAATGTTTTTTTTTCATGTAAAACGCAAGAAGAAATAATTATGTCAATGTTGAATTTTTTATTTATTTATTTTTTTACCATGCACTGCAAAAAATATAAATCTAAATAAGTCACTTTTTCTTAAATTAAGTGCATTTTTTACATTTAAAATAAGAAAACAACTATTGCTTAGTCTTATTTCAAGTGCATATTTTCTAATTATCTTATTTTAAGTGTAAAAATACTCATTCCATTGGCAAACTATCTTATTTACCTGCTCAAATTAAGGTTCAATATACTTGAGTTAAGACATTTTTACTTAATTTCAGATCGTTTTTGCAGTGTAAATTATACATTTCTTACCATAAACTGCCTTAAACATCCTTTTGTTCAACAGCTGTTACCACAAGCGTTTCTGTGGTTCCACAGGTTCATTTTTCTTGCCAAAGTTATAGGATGGAGAAGGAAACGGAAGCCGTTCATCGTAGCCGCCACATTCACTTATAGTTTGTGGTGATATTTATTTCACATGAAGCATAAAGCAGCTCAACGCAGCACAAGGTAAAGTAACTGACAGTGTCAGTCCAAATAAATCAGTTCCTTTAGCCACAGTGGAGCATTTCCTCACAGAATAAAATAAGAACCTCTTTTTACGACAGATTGACACAGATTAGTAGAAACAGCTTACAATTGTTTGACTTTCCTATTTATAATAAAGGGAAATGTTTTAAAAGAGAGGAAACAAAGGACTGCTGTAATGTGACAGACGTTCCTTAAATTAAGCTTTTGTTTATTTCAGATTTGGTTCTCTTATAATCAAATAGCTGAGAGTTACCAACCAACTTCTAACTGCTTAGAGATATGAGCTCTGCAGCAAAATAAAGCAAATAGCTTCCAAACTTTGCAGCTTCAGTCTCCGTGGTAACACAGTTCATAATTATTTGCATTCTAATAAAAATCCGCATTGAAGACTTCTTTAGCAAGTTACAAATAATCTCATGTGTCGTATTATCTGGACTGTCAGCCTCTACTTTTTGCTTTGAATAATGAAGCGTGGATTTTCTATGGATTTTTCTTCACCTGCAAGGTGCGCTTTAGCAGGAAGTGAAAAAAAACAAGACAGGGAGGAAGTTAAAGTTGGAAATGATAGAAGAGGAAAGTATAATTTTCTTGTAGAACATGCAAGCCGAATCTTTTTCAAACCCATATCAGCTCATCATGAAAACCACCCAAAGAAGCTAATATGATGCAGCATTTAAGTTTAAGGCCATCGATCTGTCAGTACAGGATGGAAATAGAGCTGCTGCACGTACGCTTTCCATGAGTGAATCCTTGTTTCGATAGAGGAGACGGCAGCGGGAAGAACTCATCCAATGCCGAAATACTAGAGCAGTTTTCAGAGGACATAAAAGCAAGTGGCCTGACCTGGAAAATGCTCTTGAGGACTGGGTTAACACTCAAGTCTCTTTTCAACTGAAAATAGCGCGCTAACGCGTGTTTTTCAAGCATCAACCCCGTGTATAACCCTGTGCATGCAGGCTGCGTGGCTTCTGTCCCCCAGCAGATGCTCGTCTGGTGAAACCATCACACAGGTTAAGCATTGATGATGTCACCAGTGCGACAGAAATCAGGAAAGTAAACAATGGAGAGCAACATCTAAGGAAGCCAGGGCGTAGTCAGTGTCCATATTTATTGACTGAAAACAGAGTTGTTTCTGCTTGTTAGTTCGGAAGCGACTGGTGCATAGTGTTGACATTGGTACGTTTGGGTTTATACAGGTTTTTTCAGCCATTAGGAAAGGGGTACATGTTACTAGCCTGGATGCCATTCCGAACTTAGTCCCGCCCACAAGGTTTGAGGTCGGGAAGTTCGGTCTGGCTCTGCTCCATAGTAGCGCGAGTATTATCGCCCACCCTCTGGCGATCCAATCAAATTGTCAGGGCGGGCTTTATACAATGATGGACAGATGATCAACAGTCACGTAATCAACCACGTGACCAAAGCGCGCTTGGGTGACAACAACAATGGCTGCCGCTGGAGAGTTGAGGTGAGTAGATTCTGCTATTAGGTCTGTTCTAGAAGATATCGACAGCAAACTAATTTTAAAAGAGGAACAGAGAAACGCGATCAAGTCTCATCTTATTATAGGCGTGCAACTGCACGCTTTGATTTTTGTTGACAACAACTATGCGTTGCTTAACATATGTCACGCACTCCGTTGCTCTTATTGGTTGTAGGTCTATCCAATTGAGTGCAGAGGCATTTTTTTTTCCTGGTTCGTTCGAAACACGCCCCATAATCACAGCTCTATGGAGCAGCATCAGACTCAGATTCTGACTAGAATTGAGTAGGACTACGTCAGGCTAACAAGTTACATCTGTGTGTCTCTGTCTCTGCTTCTGTCTCCTTGAACCCCAGTCGGCCTCAGCAGATGGCCATTCACACTGAGCCTGGTTCTGCTGGAGGTTTCTTCCTATTAAAAGGGAGTTTTTCCTCTCCACTGTCGCTACAAGCATGCTTAGTATGAGGGATTGCTGAAGAGTCAATGAGTCGATGCAATCAGCTGGTTTTCCTTAGATAGAAACTTTGAATCAGTCTGACACGATGATCAGGTGAACTGGAAAGTGCCTTGAGATGACAGGTTGTGACTTAGCGCTACGGAAATAAACTTAATTGAATTTATTGTCATCATTTTTTTTTATTTTACAGTTTAGTAAATAAGGTTTAACAGGACCATCTTTGTCTCATATTTCGCTGGAGAACTTTTAGATATTCATGGAAACCAATTTTCTAAAACCACTTTGAAGCTTTAGCATCTATTTCAAAACAATCAAGCTGAAACAATGTCTAGAATGAACTAGGAAATAAGGAACGAAGAGCAGTGACAGAATAAACGGGAGTGATCAACTTCTGTCAGGACAGAAAAGGAACTGCCTTTATTTTCAGTGTTCTTGTAATTATCAGGGTTTTGCCCTCTGTTTTTTCATTTTTAGTTTCTTTGTGTTCTGTGTCTCCTTAGTTGATTTCATCCAGTGCTCAGGTCTTTAGTTACCCTCTGTTGCCCCCTTGTGTTTGTTTCCTTTCTCCTTGGCTTCCTCCTAATTGGTCTTGCCCACACCTGCTCTCAATCTGGTGATTAACCTTTCTGGGTTCTGTCTCTGAATATACTGCCCATCCATTTTAGGATTCATTTTAAAATTCTTTTATTTACTTTTAAAGCCTTGAATGGCCTTTCCGCAATTTACCTCTCTGAGCTTCTGCACCCCTACACTCCCAGCCGATCTCTCAGGTCAGCTGATCAGCTGCTCCTGTCGGTGCCTAAAGCAAGGCTTAAGCTCAGAGGGGATCGAGCGTTTTCTGTTGCAGCTCCAAAACTCTGGAATGGATTTCCGCTGCACATTAGACAGGCCACCTCTCTGTCTCATTTTAAAACTCTTCTTAAAACCCACCTCTTTTCTTTGGCTTTTAACACCATGTAGAGTGTTGATTTTATGTATACACATGCATATTTTTATCCTGTGTGGGCAGTGCTTTTATTTTAGTTATTTTATCTTTTTGTGCAGCACTTTGGAAACCTTGTGTTTATTTAAATCGTGCTATATAAATAAAGTGGATTGGATATACTGTATATACACCACCTCTGCAGTCACTAAGTGCTGGGTTGTTGTTACAGTAAGTTGCTTCCTCGTCTCCGGCTCCCCACCAGAGTTTTCTCTGAAGTTTCTTGTTTTAGGTCCTCAGTATTTT